CTAGCGACACAGACGGACATATTTCGCATCTGACTCAACCCCATGCAACAAACTGATACTATGTGTTCATTATGGTCCATTCTTCCTCGACGAACAAGTACATAAGTGGCAATTTAGTCAAAGACGAGAAAACAGCACAAGAAATTTGCCTTATTTACACGTATCGGCAATGCAAGCTGCCCAGCGACTTCCCCTTCTGACGTCACAAGGGGAATTTCTGTATGCAATGAGAAGCTAATGAGGAGCCTCGTTTTAAAATACACAAAAATAAAGTTTCCGTAGACTGAGTTAAAAACACATTTTTTCACTTAAAAAAATTATTTATGCTTAGAAACATAAAAAATAATAATATTTATGTATCAATTGATAATTTTAGGCGTGAAAATAGCAGCCATTTCACAGGCACTAAAATTTGTACTTGTATAGCTCTTACTTGAGGGCGCTGCAAATACACTGTCAAGTAACTAAATGATAATTCTATATAAGATATGTTGCCATAGTTACCTAATTGTTTGAATAACAGGTACAATTAACATTATTAAAACAGTGTGTTTTGGTGTAATGCCAATTTCTGTTAAACCAGCGTAGGATAAAGCACCAAATATTCCAGCACCTCCTGTGCCTGACGAAAATGTAGAAACAACATTCCTAGAAAATAATTAATATAAAAATTATATAAAACAAGTCATTGTTAATGACATAGTCCCTGTTGGAATTAGAGGGAATGTTATTCATGCCAAAAATATTGACCAAAATCATAGTTAGTAATAGTTAGTAATTGAGAATGAATAAATGGCTTGTCTAGTATCAACAGAAATTAGATGTATTAAATGACTTTTCCAAAATCAAAATATATATGGTTTCAAAATTGAATTTCATTTGTCCAGGCTCAAGTACAGAGATGTGTTAGTATCATCAAAAAACAAGGTTGCAGGCAGTCACTCATCTTTGATCTGATTGTCAAACTAGTTATCATGCACAGAGAAAAAAAAGCATGTCATAGATACATTTAAAAAAAAGATGGCAGCCAGTTGGTCATTTTGGATTTGAACACAAAACGAATCATAGTAAACATGTATTTCAACATGTATAATGTTTGTATCAAATTTGAACGAAAACAGACAAACCCTGTCCAAAATACCACATTTTCCAAAAAACAAAGTGAATGCCAGTCGGCCATCTTTAATCTGATTATGAAACAAACTGACAGGAGCATGTATTCCTATATTTACGATGTATGTGCCAAATATGAATAGAAATGGTCCAAAAGCCTTGGATATATAGTAGTATCATCAAAAATTTACAAAGCATGCATAAATACCACATTTAAAACAAGCAGCCTATCGGCTGAGATATCTCCGCTGTTAGCAATGCACATTTCAATTAAAGAACTGAAGACATCATTAGAAAATGAACAATATGAATAGTATCAAAGCAATCGGACTTACAAGAAGTCGAAAATATCACTTTTTACCAAAAATTACAAAAATATTCACCAAAATAAATAGAGAATTGAAGATATCATCACAAAACAAACAAATCTGAGAGAGGTCCACATGTAGTACCTATATATGTAATATCAAAGCAATCGGACTTACAGTTTTCAACAAGAAGTCGAAAATATCATTTTTTACCAAAAATGACAAAAATATTCACCAAAATTAGAGAACTGAAGATATCATCACAAAATGAACAAATCTGAGAAAGGTCTACATGTAGTATCTATATATGTAATATCAAAGCAATTGAACTTTTGGTTTTTAACAAGAAGTCGAAAATATCACTTTTTACCAAAAATTACAAAAATATTCACCAAAATTAGAGAATTGAAGATATCATCACGAAATGAACAAATCTGAGAGAGGTCCACATGTAGTACCTATATATGTAGTATCAAAGCAATTGGACTTGCGGTTTTTAACAAGAAGTCGAAAATATCACTTTTTACCAAAAATGACAAAAATATTCACCAAAATTAGAGAATTAAAGATATCATTACAAAATGAACAAATCTGAGAGAGGTCCACATGTAGTACCTATATATGTAATATCAAAGCAATTGCACTTGCGGTTTTTAACAAGAAGTCGAAAATATCACTTTTTACCAAAAATGACAAAAATATTCACCAAAATTAGAGAATTGAAGATATCAACATGAAATGAACAAACCTAAGAGAGGTCTACCCAAGGTACATATACACCAAGTATCAAAGCATTCAGGCTTGTAGTTTTCAAGAAGAAGTCGAAAAAGTAAAACATTGACACGGACGACGACTGACAATCACTCATATGATAAGCTCCGCTCGACAAAGTCGACAGCGGAGCTAAAAACAGAATGGCTGGCTGCCAGTCAGCCATCTTTGATTGAATCAGTAAACCACTGCATCTGCTTATGTCCCAAATGAAGTACATGCAAAAAAAAATGCACATGTAAATAGAGATTTGGTCCACAGAGTTCTGAAATATGACTTCAGATGGACGAACAGACAGACAAAGACCAAAGTAAAAAAATAAAATTATTAAAACTAACAAAATAATAATTATAAATGACTTAGTACATTTTTCATGCCTTTATTTTGAACACAAATTTTTCTTGAAATTTATTGCCAATGGTCACACATTATCATGGACCTTCTTATGTATGCATCTGTAACAACAAAATGAGCATATTGATGGACTAGGTCACAAAAGAACAGATTTTTTTGGTAAATAATAAATTTTGAAATATGGAATTCTAAATTTTAGAACACATTTTCAAAACTGATGTAAACAAAGTACTTAGAGAATATAGATGTAATAGAATGATCTTAACTTACTTATCATATAATGCTGTCAGACTTAGAAATGTGACCTCACCAAATCCTGAACCAATACTTGCACAGGCAACACCTACAAACAAACATGAATACATTGAATACCTTGTCTTTTTTAATTTCTTTATTAGATTATATTTTTGTAAGGTAATTCTCTCAAATAGTGCAGTTGCAGCTATTAGTTTCTAAAGTGATTATTTCCAGTTAATTTGTAAATGCCTCAATGTTATCACAGATTAAGCTACTCATACATGCAGCGGAGTATATTTCTAAGCCCCTCTCTAAGAGAAAATAATTAACAAACAATAAACGCACTAGAAATGACACAAGAGACTGATATGCGAGAAAAGTAGGGGGATCGAGAGCCTCAGCGTGCAAGCGTCTCTTGCAGATGACACCAGTTTAGCCTACATTATGTTAATGAAAAGTTGACTGGTGCGACTAATAACAAAACTGAATACCGGTATATACTATTCAGAGGTAAAAACACAAAAATAGCGACTTTTAGGAGTTTGACAATTACTCTACCATTGTTTAACAGCTATAATATACTTGACATATACAAACAACATCAGTTACAATTAGCCTTTATGGACATTTTCCTAATTCTATATCACAATTCTTTCATCATATAGCCAAACCTTATCATACTAGATTTGAAACCAATTTACTCATTTCATTAAAAATACTTGCCCAAACTCTGGAACCAGCTACCACAGAATATATATGACATTACATCAAGGAAATTAATCAAGTTAAAAATGAAAGAAAAATTAATTCAATAATCCTTATTTATAAATATTATTATTAGCTCCATACATATATATATACAGTTTCAGGTTATTATAAATCACCCTCTAATACAGTGTAATTCATTTGTTTCTGAGGAATCAGACTAGATTAGCTAACGACTATTTCTGGTTCCTATTTTACTTATTTGTAATTGATTCTTTTAATTTTTTTTGTAAATTACAAGTGTACACTATTAGGTAAAATAAATATTTGATTGATTGATTGATTGATTGATTGATTGATTGATTGATTGATTGATTGATTTTACAATATACTGGACTCACCTATAAGATTAATCCAGACAGGTTTGGTTAGACCAACTATGAGTAAACTTGCAGTACTAAACAAAATACAGACAGCAATACGGATACTACAGAAAAAACATAATTAATTGAACATTTATTATATAACTTATATTACCAACAATAAAACTCCATACTATAATACATTGAGATCAGTAGAAAATTTTGTACCTATACGCAATCCTATGCTGGAAGAATGGAGCTGTTGCCTTGACTATAAGCCCAGGTAAAATATCAGCCAATAAGATCACCTGTAAGAAATATAATATACTAAATACATATCAGCCAATAGGATCACCTGTAAGTAACAGATAAGATGAATATCAGCCAATAGAATACTAACATAGTAAACTGAACACAAAGTTGAAATTAGTTTCTTACAGTAAATTTTGTTAAAATACTTACCCCAGTAGACATGGGATTACATTCAAATCTATGTTGCCTTGGTGACAGTAGTGTTGCTTCAGATGTGGACTGAAATATTAACAAGTCATTGTTAATGACATAGTCCCTGCTGCAATTAGTGGAAAATTCATGCCTAAGATAAAGTAATATGGATAATAGACTGATCTAGTATCAATAAAAATCGGATTTATAACATGTATTTTAAATTTGCAACCTAATATATGATCACAAACTTTATACTTCCATTTGATAATTCTCATATTTATGTAATTTTTGTATCCAAACTCAAGTAAAGTACATATCTCCAGTATCATGAGTGTGAACTAGCTTATTTGTTACGGTGTTACCCAATGACACTGTTTCTAACAATGTTTTCATGGTGGGAAATTAGGGCACTTTACAATTTAATGAGAACGAAGCATAAGTCAAACATGAATGTGTACCAAGTAACATATAATGCATCTTTTAGAATATACAACTAGAAATTAAAGATATCATTATGACAAATATTATTTTTTATGGACTG